TGCAGGCCGTGTGAGGTGATTAAAGGCTGTTGGGTTTGGAGTCCCGTCCCACTGCTACCCTCCCTCATTGATCTCCTTCGGGCCCTTAAATTGGAAGGAACGTTACTTGCAGCATTCATGGGATAAGACAGCCCTACCTAACATTTCCCAGCCATGTATGGGATCTAGGAAGCTGCCGTATCTGTGAGGTATCTAATAACATTGTGCTGCGTTATTATTTGCTGAAGTCAATTACCTGCGTAATGAGTGGCAATCTTTATCTTTGTCATAATTGTTTCATGACTTGGAGACAAATGAAATAATTAGACACGACTGATGAGTCAAAGCCAAATAATATCCCGTCTGTTTTTATGGGATGTCTGTTCAGTCCACTGTATTATAGCCCTTTCTTCATCCCTATGGATAGGATTAACTCCATTTGACTACTTAGGAACATGCGCCTACTTTCAATGTCTCTTAAGGCAATTGAAACATAAATACAACCCTGACGCCCGCTGCAGAGAGAGAAGAAAGGACCAGGACAAGGGCTTTCACATTACCAATGCCAAATGTCAAAACACTTCCCACACAGAGTTACGAGGCTAACAAGTGATTTCAAGACAAATAGCAAAGGCTGATTGTTGTAATGCTCTAATATCAGATTCAATCAAGCAGCAGATGTCTTTTTATTGCAAGTCATTATCGTTGTCATACTTATTAGCATATAAATGGTTTCTAGGTCTTCGGAGACCGAAAAGTTGTTGCACATGTAATTGAACTTGATCTCTGCTCTGTGATTGAGATGTTCCAACACGTGCACACATACGTTACCAAGCATACAAAGCGGTGCACACTATGTGCACATCCACATGAGGACAATCCTCCCTGTCTGTCTTTCTAACTTTGTTGGAGACTATTTGGAGACATATTTTCTAACCTCAACATCATAATTCAGTACCTAGCCTTAAGGCTGTCCTAGAATTCAAAGGTACATTTACGTTGACGTCATTGAGTATAGGCAGCTCAGGGTGTCAAATGTACCAAACCAAAAACTCTATTGCATCTCCGATCTAACCTATGTTATTTATTCATGTTGTAATGGTAACGGGGAAATGGTTTGTTCTGAGAAAAGGTAGTTCAACATGTCTCCAGCGTAGACACACCACCTTCCATTTGCATATCCGCTTCAGCCTCTGCAGTACACAAATGTTGGTGTTGGTAATGCTAAACGCAGAACAAGGCTAGCCCGAGCTACTTCGAATGCTAGCCCAAGCTAACCTGAGCCCCTGCTAATGATTTTGTTAGACAAGAGGACATTTTCAAACTTTACTTTTGTGTTTCACTGTTTTTCCTTGCACCTGGAAAGCAGATTGATTTGACCTTTTGTGTGGACTGTGCCAAATAAATGAAGAGGCCTCACCAAAGGAGAATTGCCGGAGCTCACAAGTAACGTTACAGGATACTTGGAATTTCCAGACTTTGAATGAAAGCCAGATGATTCTATTAAGGCCCACTGAGGGTTTTCTTTATACACATGTGTCCTAGCCAACATTTGGGGTTGATTTCACCCTGCACAAACTGTCAGTCTTTATAGTTCAACTCCTGTTGTAAAACTCAGCCAAACCTGCAGGAAATTTCTACTTAAGGTATCTGTTTCAGCTTCAAGGCAGATATTTGTCACATGAAATCTTCGTTTCACTCTCCATCTTGATATTCTCAGATGTGATTTGTGCATTTTAGTGTTGACACAGATGGATGAGGCTCTTCTCCAAGGCTGTCTCTGTGAGTCTGGAGGGGACCTTGAATTACTGCATCCGAGGCTGTGCTCTACACAAAGCAACGCATGTCGGCATGCCAAAATGAACATTTTCAGATTGCATGTGGAGGAAATTTTAATGAAAAATCTGCTTTGTATCTTGCGGTCATGGACAAATGGTGAATTCATAAACTCGGAATGAACTTAGAAATGAATGTTTGAATGTTTTGTTGCTTGTGCCGACTTGGAGCCTGGCTGGTAAAACTATGCTGACCGGGGTGTCTCCAAATTAGATATTGGCATGATTGCAAGTACTACTCAGTGGGAGGGCTACTCTGGCTCAGTCACCCTGCTGATCAAAATCTGGCCAATGTTCATCGCAGCAAGCACAATGCAACAGCAGGGGGAAAGCATCTCAGCAGTCTCATTAAGCTGCAAAAAACAGTTTAAAAAAAGAAAATCACTACAGATTTTTGATGCATCTTTTCTTTACCACTCCAGTTATGTTCGCTTTCATTTCTGATGCAAGAGGTCTACTGAAAGGGCAAAGATCATTTTCAGGTTTTCCAGTCACAATACCACTGCTTAAAATGCCTTGAATTTTAATGAACTGAGAGAAAAGATTAACCTGGCCATGCAAGGCTAAAGTTGAAGAGAAAACCAGTGGCTGCCTAGAGCTAAAAGGAAGAAAGAGAGGAAAGGGAAAGGATGCCAGAAATCCAAATATCAAGACAGACAGCAGACAAACAAACAAATTGGAAGCTGAATGTCAGGAGGTGGCCGTCCCATCTCACACCTTCCTGTCTTTGATCAGTGGTCGATGGGGTAGTGCAGATGGCTGCTGCAACTCCTGAGCAGATCAGACTCACATTCCTGCTTCTGGGAAATCACTTGTAGCAGCTGTGAAAACACATCGTGGCTCGATACAGAAATGATGAGGCTAATGCACTCCGCCATTGTTGTGCCAGCTCCCCGTTACTGGTGTAGTTCCTGCCAGAGAAAACTCGGTTCTGTTCCTGTTACTGGCATCTAGCATTCTCGGTTTCATGGTGAAAATATCTGTTAAGGTCTCTCTGGCTCATCTGTTATACCATTGAAAGTAGTTTTTAAATGCATGTAGCAGCAGTCAGCATAAACAAAGCATAACGTTTTATCAAAGAACACAGTTGTGTTCAGGGGAGATGGGTTTTTTTTACTTTCAGTTGATTTTCCCTTAACAAGTCCAAATCAATCAATCAATCAATCAATCAATCAATCAGATTTTATTTATAAAGCGCTTTTCAAAGTGAGACTCAAAGCGCTTTACCGAATTAAAATGACCCCAAATTCCCATAACAGTTTAAAAACATTAACAGACATATGCACGCACACATACACACACACACACACACACACACACACACACACACACACACACACACACACACACACACACACACACACACACACACACACACACACACACAATCACATCAGTAAAAATTTATATTTGACTGAGCCCAGATGAGCCAAGTAAGGTAAGGCAAGGGAACACCATCAGAGGAGGCGTCTGCCCCGGCAGCATCAGGTCTTCCACAGCAACTAAGTCAGGGCGCTCAGAGGAGGGAGAGCATACAGTAGACCCCCACCTCCACTCAAACACTACCTGCAGGGTGCCCAGGAAGTAACATTTGACCACTGCCCCTGGGGCAGAGGGCCCCTACAGGGAAAACTCTGGATTAAAACGAGTAAAAATATGAAAATAAAAGAGCTAATATAAATGACAAAAGTAAGAAAAATAAATAATAAATAAAATAATATGGACAGTAAACTAATAATATTATTAAATAATGAAACGGTGCTAAAATATAATCATATAAAACGAGGAATAAAACTATAATAGCTAATTAGATAAAAGCTAACCTAAATAAGTGGGTCTTGATCCTGGACTTAAAAACAGGAACGTTCACTACGGCCCTGAGGTCCTCCGGCAGCTCGTTCCAGAGGCGAGGACCGTAATACTGGAAGAAAAATCAGATTTTTTCCCCCAGTTCAGTTAATCGGTTTTGAACAAACAAAAATATCCATCAACACTGTCAACTGGACTAACTTAGGCAGCACCAGTTTGATCAGAAAGGAATGAGTGTTCTTAATGTATGGCAAGCGGATTTATCATTTAACAGGTAGACGAACTTCCAAAAAATGCAGTACTGATTTCTTTGCTTTGCAAGTTTTAATTAGAAACCTAAAAGAGACAACAATGAGGAATATACATTTTAAATTCCTCCTAAAAAGCCACATGGAACATTTACAATTGTTGCAATAAAAATAAGAATATTTTGCACTCTTGTAAAATAGACACAATGAGCAACAATGTAATTACAAATGTCTTCATATTTTGGACAGTTATTAGAAACTAGATGGGATACAAATTTATTTCACCTGCACCTTAAATTTGGAACAAACTGCTTTTACAACTCTAGATACGTAGCCATTTATGATTAAATGAGAAAATAATTGCGTACATATTTAATGACTTTTTAATTGTGGAAATGTAATAGCGTAGCTAAAAATAGTTCTTGAAGTAACGTTGCAATGCATTGTGGGATATAGACCTAGACAAGCAAGTGTGTATTTTGTACGGGTGTCTGAAGGTCTGAGTCACTCTGCTCAACTCAAAGTTGTATCTTCGTTTCTTAAAGATGTTCAGACCGGAAGGAACTAAGCACCGCTGTTGGGGGCGTGCTAATCGGACTCCAGATACCCAGATAGGATATCAGTTGGGAATTTTTTTTTATCCTTTTCCATAGCTGGGAATGACCACGACCACATGAAACAGCTGGGAAGAGAAATGGCCGAGCTAAAGACAGACAAAGCAAAGGATGTAAAAGACTGGATTTCCACAGTGTGGAGCAGATCAAAGGGTGTGAGTGTGTTTGCTCCATACATTTTGACGGTGGAAAAGGTCCTACCCTACATTGGAGAATGACAAAAATGAAGGAAACCAGCTGAGCGTTTCGACCAAACAGCATGTAAACGTAGACAAAAAAACTTTAGACCAGAGGTGGGTGGTAAGTACAGAGTGCAGACACAAACAATATCCTGAGAGTAATAAACAACTTAAATAAATTGTTACTTGAGCTTACTTCAATTGCAGTTTGTTTGTCTAGCATGACCCAGCACCACTTGCGCTGTGACGTCAATCGTTATGTAAAAACTCCGTTTAAAGACTGTGATCTCATTATATGTGAAAACGGCTTTCCGTAAAACCTTCAGCAACGCACTGGGAGCCGTGCAGGAACGTCACCTTATCAGCTCTAGTGAGACAGACAGACGGCTCGGCCGCGGCGAGCTGCGCTGACTCGTCGCCTCCTCAGGACTCTTGTTTGCGTGTGAACCATGGTGTGAACCACCACTTGAGCACTTTACACGTCTGGAGATATTTACCGAGATGTTCCTATGCCGGTTCAAAGACAGGACGCGAGTCTGGACTGGAGGAGAACCCTTGTTTTAGAGCGAGGAGACACGTTTGTTTTCCGTCTTTACTTCCAGCCGGCGTTGTAGAAGACTGTTTGATGCGAACGCTCAGCTAACAAGCTAACTGGAAATGTTGTCACAAACTAGCTAGTTGGTTAGCTTGCTAGCAAGCTAGCGGGGTTGTGTGTTGTTTGGGTTTAGCAGCGGTGCTGCTTGGTGTAGGAAACCGCGGCAGAAGCTCGCGCTGGGGTCTGCTGGGTGTTCAGAGGACCTGAGCCAGTTTGGTTCCTAACCTTTACCGGAGACTAGAGAGCGTTTAGTCAGAACAATAGTTAATTGTTCAGGCAACAAGTTCGGCACCGCTGCTTTAACATCACTCAGATGTAGATGTGAATGTCAAATTATTAGTTTAGATTTGGCTATAACGGGACAAAGCCGATACTTTGTTTTACAATGTTGAATGTTGGGTTAGTGAAAGTGGCGTCATACGGAAAAAAGTACGAGTGGAGATGCCCAGAGCGTCTCGGGTACCCCGGATTCTTTTGGTGAAGCTGTTGTCAGTTAATCAAAAGCACAGCTGACGAGGTGAACGCGCATTGAAAAATCGCCCACATGCGTTGGATCAGCTCCCGGACTTGTGAAAGGCATCTGAAGCAGCAGGAGGGAGACGAGAGCGCACAGCCCTTGCAGCAGCCCGGGGGAAGATGGCGGAACGTTCCCACAGGAGGTGGTGAGACCAAAACTTCGGCGCTTCTCGGATTCCCGCACAAACCACTTTTCTCAGATCGTTGGACACATGCAGGCCAAAAAACGATATTTAATTCTGTTCTCCGCCGGCACCTGTCTCATTCTGCTGTTCTGTTTTGGGGGAATACAAGTCCCGCTGTCCAGGCGGGGGTCCCACAGGCGTGATGACCGCAGCCTCACCGGCTATCACCTCGGGGCACGGTGGCGTCGCCTGTCCGGATTCATGCAGGCTTTCAGTACTCTGGGGAAGGACAGTAGCGATGAGCTGCATGGACACATGTCCCCTAGGCAAAAGAGGGACACCAACTCAGGCCTGTACACTGGAAAACGCTGCAGGATGGAGACTTGTTTTGACTTTTCTTTGTGTGAGAGGAATGGGTTTAAAGTGTACTTGTACCCCCAGCTGAAAGGAGAAAAACTCTCAGAGAGCTATCAGAACATCTTGGCTTCTATTGAAGGGTCCAGGTTCTACACACCAGATCCGGGACAGGCGTGCCTCTTTGTCCTGAGCTTGGACACTTTGGATCGAGACCAGCTTTCTCCCTACTATGTGCACAACTTAAAAGCAAAAATCCAGGGACTTCCTTTATGGAACGAAGGCAAGAACCACATCATCTTCAATTTATATTCTGGCACATGGCCGGATTACACAGAAGATCTTGGCTTTGATATAGGCCTGGCCATGTTGGCCAAGGCCAGTATTAGTACAGAGAACTTTCGACCTAACTTTGACATTTCCATCCCTCTTTTCTCTAAAGACCACCCAAGGACAGGAGGGGAAAGAGGGTATTTGAAACACAATACAATTCCCCCTTATAGGAAATACATGCTTGTTTTTAAGGGGAAACGCTACCTGACTGGAATAGGTTCAGACACTAGGAATGCTTTATACCATGTGCATAACTCGGAGGATGTAGTCCTCCTCACCACCTGTAAGCATGGGAAAGACTGGCAGAAGCACAAGGACGCACGCTGTGACAAAGACAATGCTGAATATGACAAGTGAGTACTGCCCTTCCTTTCTGCATGATTTAATTAGACTTTTAGGTCCTCTGTTGTAGTGTTGTCAAAAAATCAATACCTAGATATGAATCGATACTAAAAGTGGTATCTAAATGAGATATTCCATCCCTGTGGTATCGATATTATGGAGTCTCACATATACACAGCCTTCTTCAAGTAAACCGACACACACGACAGCCAGATGCCGTAAAGCAGCCTCCGCCTCCCAGACAAACAGAATAAGAAGCATGGCTACATTGCAATTTCCCACGCAAGTTGTCACCGATCCAAGTTTTGTTAACAATGGCAACAGCGAATTTGGGAGGCGCTTCACAGCCCAACTTAATTAGCATACCAAGTCCGACACGTAGTTGTATATTCACGCTTATATGCTTAAAGGAAAACTCCCGTTTATTGCAACCCGGACTTAATTTCTAGCATGCACTACATTTGTTTACTCACGCTGACAACTTTGGTGCTACTTGGATTCCCCGGGGTATTTAGATCCATCGGCGAATCGCCATCAGTGTATATCCATATAACGGGTGCAGACGGGCACCCATGGTGCAGCCTTGAAATAAGACATTATCTGCACCAAAACATCTCAATGTCGAAAGGTTTTTTTAGGAATCATTAACATGATTCCCCTGTTCGTTTGGAGCGGGTCTGGGATTTCTGGGCGTAAATAGCCTAGCCGCGGCTAATCTAACCAGCGCTTTTAATGACGTCACTGCCGTGCGCCAATCTGTTTTTATTAAGATTAGATGTACCTTTGTCCTACTGTGGAGAAATTCGTTTTCTCCCTTTATTGACCAACAGAGTTGTTCAAAAGTACAGAACAAAACATATGGCATTACAGCTTATGACAAAAATGCACCTCAGAGTTTATGCAGCAAAACATCACTATGCAAATAGTGTATATATAGTGAGACAATTCATGATTTAAAGTGTTAACTTTCGCCAGTTTTTGTATGCATGTTTAAAAAATGCTGGTACTTGAAAGGTTTAAGCACTTTATACACTTAATTCTTAACATTTAATTTTTGCAATATAAATTGAGGAATGTTATTTTTTGAATAAACCTGTTCAATAAATTGGTGTTTTTAAATAGTATCAAAATCGAGTATCAAGTTTTTCCCCCAGTATCGAATCAAGTTAGAAATTTTAGTATCGTGACAACTAGGGCTGCAACTAACGATTATTTTCATAATCGATTAATCTGTCGATTATTTTTTCGATTAATCGATTAATCAGTTTGTTATTGTTTAGCTATTTAACCTATACAAGTGATGAATGCATTTCAGTTAAGAAAAAGAAAAACATAGGAGAATTGTGCAGTTGACTGCAATCGATTTTATTGCACATGAACACAGTCAGCAGTGTAAAATGAGCTAAACAGTGCAAAATATCCGTCCAGAAGAATTTTTTGGCATCAAAATATAAGAGGTAAATTCCATAAAAAATTATGTAGAATCTAGAATAGAGTTTGTAAGTGGTATGCATTGCTGGGGGGTGAGTGTCTTGTTCCCCATGTAGTTGTCCATCGTTGCTTGTTTTTTTCTGCATAAGAAACACAAATTGACTGACATAAGTACACATATAAAATAAAGCAGCACACACACTACAACACTAAATCAATATTATATTATTTGAATTAATTAACAATATACAATGATCATTTATTTTGATAAAAATGCGTTGTGAGGCATTTTATAGTGTTAGACAGTAAAACAGCCTTTTAATAGTAAAAAAATGACTTTTTCTGAATTTCTCCTGTATTTAAAAATTGAAAGCGTACAACTATGTCGCATTATATTCACCTGGACACAGCTCGTCTGTATATTTTTCTCCGCGGAGTTGTCCTCTTTTGAATGAGGAACTTATGGGCCATTCCCATCTGTACCGGGTCGGGCTGGGTAGCGTAGGTTGTTTACATATCTGGGTGGCCTGGTATTTGTCCGGGCCAACCAAGGCTCATTCTCAGCCCTCTTCTCGAGGGGGTCTGCTTCAGGCCGACTAGGGCCAACACACCCACTGCTGACAGCAAATTCACACCTTCCATTAGAGCAAGCCTCTGATTGGTGGGTAGAATCAGCCCACATGGGCTTAAGACAAGGATATGTGGAAACAACCGGGCCAGGCTGGGGCCGACTGGGGCTACCCGGCCCGGGCCGACCCGGTACAGATGGGAATGGCCCAATAGTTATGGGTTTGTGCCGTTTTTCTCTTAACGAGAACATTCTTATAAACAGACGTGCTAAATTTGGCAAGCGCATGATTCACAACACGGAGATTCACGATTGCATTTAGTCAATCAGAAGTAGAACACCGTAGACTGACGCAGCAAAAAAAACATGTTTAACATCCACTATAACGAACTCAGCTAAAACACTAAGTCCCAAATTTGATCTGCGTGTAGTGATGACTTATTTTCTGTAACTTACTTACCGGGCTGTCTCTTCCTCTGCTGCATCAGCCCCCACATGTTTTCGTCTCAAATGTTCACTTAGGGACGTCGTGCTTCCGTGCCATGCTAGATGGTTTTTGCATATTTTGCAGGTCACCCGTCTTTTCATGACATCTAGAGTGACGTGCTCCCATACTCGTGAGGTTTTTGTCCGGGGTTTCTCTTCAGTTTTGTCGCTTCTATTTTTCTTCCGTATTTCTTCTCGTTCCGCCATCTCTCACAGCAAGTTGAGCGTCAGTAACGTGATACGTCATGAAAACCGAGGGCACTTATTGGCTCGTTTCTTCTTCTACGGCTCCACTGGTAGATCAGTGGCTCATTACTGCCACACACTGGCGGCAAATTTAACAGATTGTAACCGATGTCAGATTGTGGTAAAAATAGACTTTATGCGGTAAAATGTGATTATTAAACAACTAATCGATGACTAAAAAAGTTGTTAACTATTTTAATAGATTATAATCGATTAAATCGATTAGTTGTTTCAGCTCTAGTGACAACCCTACTCTGTTGTCTTATTTGGTGCATTTGTCAAACGTTGGCCTTATATAGGCCATTCCCATCTGTACCGGGTCGGCCCGGGCCGGGTAGCGTAGGTTGTTTACATATCTGGGTGGCCTGGTATTTTTACGGGCCAACCAAGGCTCATTCTCAGCCCTCTTCTCGAGGGGGTCTGCTTCAGGCCGACCAGGGCCAACACACCCACTGCTGACAGCAAATTCACACCTTCCATTAGAGCAAGCCTCTGATTGGTGGGTAGAGTCAGCCCACATGGGCTTAAGGCAAGGCTGTGTGGAATCAACCGGGCCAGGCTGGGGCCGACTGTGGCTACCCGGCCCGGGCCGACCCGGTACAGATGGGAATGGCCCAATAGTAATCAAACTAGTTTCAGCTGTAGGATTTTGAATGAGTTTCTTTCAACAGTATGAAAGCATTTCTGTACGTTTCTTTTGTTGCATTATTGATGCCCCCAACTTTTCCCAATCTTTCTTGTGAGCTGTGTTGCTGAGCTTCCTTGTTATGGGATAGACGATGTAAGCCTGGAATGTCAAATAGATATGGTTCTCTTTTCCCAGAAGGAAAAACCTGTTATTATAGTTTTCCCATTGTTTGCTCATCTGATTAACTCAATCATAGACCTTTAGTGGATCACTGTGAGGCCCAGCTGAATTAATTGCTTTAATGTCAGTCACAAGAACTATTTTATTAATGTCTTTCAATCGGTGTCTGGATCTGTTTCCAACACCTGGGCCCTTTATTTCCTTTAGCTTTTGACATCTTCTTAATGCTCTGTTTTTTTTTTAATTCAAACCAGGTATTTATGCGCACAAGCTTTATGAGCAAATATGTAGCTCAGTATTTTATTTTTACTGACCATTATCTCTCATTAATGCACTTTTACACTTTTCTAAGCTTTCTAAAGATTGCCAAGCCACCCTGTTTAGTGTGTTCAAATCTGATCTGATGAGCAAACCGGCGTCTCTCTTTCTCTCATCTATCTTTGGACAGTGGGATTCATTTTGTGTCCCCCAGACGGTGCCGTGTTATTACTGATGACTGTGGGGTGCTGGGTGTTTGATTGTGGATCTTTGGAGTGGATTAGTAGTGACAAAGCTCTGGTGCCAGTAAGGGGAAGCCACTCTGGCTCTTGTTTGCTTAATCATTTCACAGACAAACCCATTAGCATTAGCCAGGAATGCCCTGGCCCCAACCAGTGTCCTACATGACCCGGATATGTGTGTGTGTGTGTGTGTGTGTGTGTGTGTGTGTGTGTGTGTGTGTGTGTGTGTGTGTGTGTGTGTGTGTGTGTGTGTGGTGGTGGGGGGGGGGGTTGCTAAAGCAACCTTAACAGAGAGAATAAAGGGTCTCTGCTGTTTAACCTAGAGGTTTCTCTAATTCTACAAACCTGATTTTAATTGGTGGGTGATTAAAATCTGCTTCTGCAGATCTAGATGTCATGAGAGTGCAGGATAGTGGCCCCGGAGGACCAGGGTTGGACACCACTGAGAGAGTAGTACTCACAAGCTCCTGTTCTTTATCATGCTGGGGGACATGAACAATACACCCTTTCTACTGCTTGATGATGGCCTGCTGTTAAGTCCAACAAGCAGTGATTTAAATACAAAGTCACAGCAGACAATTAAATCAGGAATCGGGAGTTTGTTCTCAAGAGGGCACCACCAAGAGGCGGAAACATGCATTGCACCTTAAAGACTTTGTGATACTGCTGTGTGCAATGCCTCTCACTCTAGCTGGGCAACCGAAATGCTGCCAACTAGGGCTGCAACTAACGATTATTTTCATAATCGATTAATCTGTCGATTATTTTTTCGATTAATCGATTAATCGGTTTGTTATTGTTTAGCTATTTAACCTATACAAGTGATGGATGCATTTCAGTTAAGAACAAAAAAACATAAGAGAATTGTGCAGTTGACTGCAATCTATTTTATTGCACATGAACACAGTCAGCAGTATAAAATGAGCTAAACAGTGCAAAATATCAGTCCAGAATAATTTTTAGCATTAGCTG